AAAAATTCATTTTTTTTCTAATTTCATTACTATTTATACAAAAGCAGACGAAATATTTTTGTTAATGAACATATCTGTTCTTATAGGATATATATATATATATTATATATATATATATATATATATATATATATATATATATATATACTACGTCCAACTATTTGTCGTTTGATCAAAGCCGAGCGGATGAACCAGATCATATTGCTGCACCTAAGAGTATGATGCATCTTTTTGGCGCTTACGCTTAAAATAACTATGCTTCTATGACTGTGACACCCACATATCTTGATTTCACGTGTTTCGTGACCAGCGGATAAAGTCTTTTAAGTCAGGTCTCCTAAATGGCGTTTCACTTGACTGAAATGAAACAAACGAATAAATGAGTAAAAGAAAGGTTTTGAGGTCAAGTAACAACAAAGCCGGACAATGAGAACTTCCGGTCATAGGTCTATATTAAGAATCATAGTAGAGTTAGTTCTGGTTCGCCATTGGAACGGAGTAGACTGGTGCTCTGTTAGGGAATAAAACAGCTAAATATAATGGAAACGGAGTTCGAGTTTTCATTTATCTCCCCTTTTTGTTTTCGTATGAGCTTGTAGTGGACCCTTCCCGGTTTTTTTGAAGCACAACGTCTCGAACAAGAATGGAGACAAAACGTGGTATTCCCCCGGGCACCATCTTTGGTCTTACGCTGTTTTTAATCTTCATTAACGACCTTCCCGATGACATCAGCTCTAAACTTGTCATCTACGCGGATGACACTACCCTTAACCCCTGACTCCATACTAAAGCTGATCAGTCCGACAAGGTCAAAATAGCAGCTGATTTACAAAACGACCTCAAGAGCTTCGTTAATTGGGACAAAAGATGGCTTGTTAATTTTAGCGCCTCCAAAAGTAAACTTCTCTCTTTTAATCATCTGAGAGACTTCTCTCGGCCTTCCATCAGTATTGCTGATGCTATCCTCCAAGAAAATGACTCATTGCACCTTCTCAGGCTAACATTGTCAGCTGACATGAAATAGAAAGACTATATCAGCTAGGTCAGCTGCTAAGAAAATCGGGTCACTGTGTCGGACGAGACAATTCTCTCCTGAATCTCTCGTGCATATCTATAAGTCTACCATTCATCTATGCTTAGAATATTGCTGCTATATACGGTCTGGTGCCCCAGCAATTTGCCTGGAGCTCCCTGATAAGACCCAAAGAAGAATCAGCAATATTATTGCTTATTCAGTGCTATCTAAATTGTGAAGTTTGGCCCAACACTGGTAGATAGATTGTCTGATTAGTGAGAGAATTGCGTTTTTCTTATCAGTGGATGGTATTCTAGCCATGGTAAAAAAAATTAAAAATTGAATGCTGATTTTCAAGTCAGATTCTCCTTATTTGTCTCTGTACTTCTGAGAGAGTAACAGCGACTCGGAAACGAGATTGAATTCCGATCGAGATCATTACACTTACATTCACACAGAAACCCTTGGGAAAGAAATTAATCCATCTTCTCTACACTTAGAGCAGGACAGACTGGCCTCTTTAGACTTGGTTGGCAGCCAGTATAGAAGAAAGACAACTTTGAATTCAAAACCGGTTATGGTGAGGCGTATACTTTACAACCATTGAAATGCTTACCGGGTTTAGCAATTATGGACTATGCACTCGAATAAAGAAGAATTTTGAAAGATCGGCACAATACAAACTTTCTATCTTCTCTTTTCCCTGGTCTGTTTTGTAAATATCAACTGATATTACTACATTGTCTCTTATTTGAATAACCAGTGAGTTGTGCCCTCTTTTCAATAGTACTCATTAACTGACTAAACTAAGATGGAGGCAGTATGCTTTCATTCTATCGATTTTCAATCTAATATACGACGACTGATCAAAAAGTATCGGGACTGGTGCTATAAAAAAGAAAACTACAGCACATATCAATTCGGCATTTAATCTCCTTTGAAGTTGTCTTCTTCTGATGTGACACACTTTATCAAGGTCGTTTCCATTGATGAAAGCACTCTTAGAACTCCTTTTTTGAGATAACGAACAGCTGCCTCGGCGCATTCACTTGGATTTATTTCCTCGACGTCTTGAAATCTTGTTTCAAAGCGGGATTTGATTTATGGAAAGAGTAGAAAATCGCAAGGGGTGAGATCTGGGGAATATGTCGAAACTGGGAAATGTTGTGTTTGGCCCAAAACTTCTACATAAGCCATGGTTACTGATGAAACCTCTGTGGTGTGCTAAAATGACCACACACTACACACTTTCCGTCTAAGCACTGCTATAGACAACAGAAATGAGTGAAAGCATTATAACTTAACATGTATGTGCGACAGAGTTCAAAGTCAATCTGTGCCTAGCGGCTTCACTCTACGTATTTTAACTCCGTTACCATAGCAACAGTTACAATACTTTTTGGTCAAAGCTCGTATAAAGCTAAAAGTTTGTGTGTATCAGCTCAAAACTTTGAAAATTAAATACAGTGAAACCTCGGTTCTCGAACGTCTAACATGTCGAGCAAATCGGTTTTTGAACAGAAAATTCGAGACGAAAATTCCTCAGTTATCGAACAAAATTTCGTTTCTTGAACAACATTGCCGAATCGAGTTAACTCGAATAATTTCTGAGTCGTCTGCCGTGTTGTATACATTCGTGTGCTGTGGCGTGCTTTTCTTTTCCAATTTTATTGTACTGTGACTGTTTTTCTACATTCATTCTTATTGGAAAATAGTTTCGATTTACGAACATTTCAGTTTACGAAAAGCCTTCAGGAACGAATTAAATTCGTGAACCGAGGTTCCACTGTATGCATAAACATTGTTTGCTTGTTCGTGAGTTTGCAAATATTACATAAAATCGAGACATGAAATAAATACGCTTTTATGATTTATACCTACCATATATATAGTGCCTTATATATTAGCCAACTTAGCGATTCTGGCAGAATCAATTTTAAAAATTAAATTTTAAATAATTATGGTTTGTTATAATTTCTTTTTTAAGATCTTTATAAATAAGTGCTTTATTGGTTATTTCTTTAGTTAAATTGCTTAGTTATTCAAATAAATGATTACATCACTGAAAATTGTAACCATCTTAGAATTTAGATCACTGCTTGAGAATAAATGGAAGTAGACAGTGCCATGTAAAAGTATGTCAATGCCATGTTGACATTTTAAACGTATATTCTGAAACTGTAACGAATATTAAAAACTATAATTTTATAACATGTCACAAAGAAAAGGGATTTGGCCCGGGCAACGTTGAGTATCATTGCTAGTACTTAAAAAATGTAAACATTTGTTTTACATTCAATCTTCAAATAAATCTATTCCACAATATAATGTGACCAAGCCTCCATTGTAGCAAATCGGCCAGTCTATATGTCAAGCAGCAAAATTGTTACCACACCTAAGAAAGAAAGAAAGAAAGAAAGAAAGAAAGAAAGAAAGAAAGAAAGAAAGAAAAAGAGAGACAAGGAAAGAGAAAAGCGAAAGAAAGAAAGAGACACACAAGGAAAAAGAAAGAAATTATCCCGAGTCTATGTCTATAGGTCAAGCAGTAAGATTGCTACCACTTGTAAGAAAGAAAGAAAGAAAGAAAGAAAGAATCCGAAAAAAAAAAACTAATGGCATAAGATGAAGAGATTGAATCGGTCAAAATGGTCAAGAATATGCATTTTATTGGGATTTTGTGACAATTGCAATGTCGAAATGTCAAACGTTTGCTCAACTAATGAGACGGAAAGGCAGCTTCCCAGAATGAAATGTTCGAAAAGATTTCTAGCCGAGTGGATAGCAATATCCGTAAACGTTGCATTGATTCTGCAAATTAGAGAAATCCTGCTTGACTTGAAAATCAGCATCTGGATTCATAGTGTCTGCCTTTAAAGTAAATTGATCCTGTCTGTCTTGAAAATCAGCATTGCGGTTTTCACAAAACTCAACCACCGGAATCGGTAGAGAATACGCATCTATTTCAACTTCGGCTCTGGTTGAGTGGTTGTTGTAAACGAGGAAACTTGATAAGACTTTCTTTTTCTCGCAAATACTTTCTTATTTTTCTTCTTCTCACAAAAAATTAATTCTTTTTCTTCTTCTCGCAATTATTTTCTTCCTTTCCTTCACTCAAATAATTTCACTCAAATAATTTCTTCCTTTTCTCTTCTCTCAAATACTTTCTTCTTTTCTTTTTCTTCTCTTAAATACTGTCTTATTTTTCTTCTCGCAAATAGTTTTTTTTTCTTCTCGTAAATGCATTCTCCTTTTTCTTCTTGTAAATGCTTTTCTTATTCTCACAAATATTGCCTAATTTTTATCGCACACACTTACCTCTCTTTCTTCTCGCAAAAATTTATTCTTTTTCTTCTTCTTGCAATACTTTTTATTTTCTTCTCGTAAACAATGTTTCTTTTTTCTTCTGTCAAATACTTTTTCTTCTTCTCTCAGATACTTCTTTTTTTTCTTCTCGTAAATATTGTCTTTTCTTCTTCTCGCTAATATTTTCTCCTTCAACTTCTTCTCACAAATACTTTTTCTTTTTCTTCTTCACGCAAATATTTTTCCTTTTTCATCTCCTCGCGGTTCCTTCTTGCTTTTCTTCTTTTTATCTCAAATACTTTCTTTTATTTCTTCTCCTCATAAATACTTTTTCTTTTTCTTCTCCACACTAATATTTTCTTCTTTTTTTTCTTCTCGTAAATAGTATCTTTATTTTGTTTTTCTTCTTCTCACAAACACTTTCTTCTTTTTCTTCTTCTTCTCGCAAATACTGTCTTCTTTTCTATCATGATAACAATAATAGTTATATTTTTATAGATGGAAATTTATGCGACAATATTCTTGTAAAATGAATTCAATTTCGCTAGATATACATTCTGCACTTTAGTCATTCCTGAAACAAAATAACAAGATATTTGTAAGAAAAAAGAAGACTCCTTAATCGTATATTTAAATAGCTTTTCCTTTTTGTCATCTCGTAGAATTATATTACAAGAAGTCAATGCCAAACGAGTGTACGGAATGAAATTGGGGCTGTATTACTTTATCTAATTACATTCGTATTGACTCCATTTTTATTTCAATGAAATATTTAACTGGAAAAAAATTACAAATTGTAGCAAATTATCTACAAAAAAAAATTGCATCCAGAATTGTGCAAATTCACAATATAGAAACGTCGATTGTGTAGAGAAGTGACGAGGTCGACTATGCAAGCTAATATCAAGGTTTATTCGTTTTATCATGCAAATTAGTTGACGAAGACACAAGATAATCAGCTGCAGATAGTGTTAACAAGATCGAAAAAGTGTGTTCGTCGTAAATGTTTCTACTATAACTATATCAATCCTACATTGTTTACATGGACGACTGCTGAGTAGAAAAAACGTGACTGAAATCGAGGCACAAAGAGACGCATGTAGAAGTTTTGAAAAAGAATAAGGAAAAAAGAATAATGTTTTGAGAGAGTGTACTGTCGTCAGATGACACAAAAGTCAACATTTTGGCGTTCGATGGTAGCTCAGTCTTGGGTATGACGATAAACTACATCCGGCAGCAAGGCCTCTGATCGGTAGGTTTTGAGGAGCGTGGTACCACCTCTTAATTGCTATTGTTCCTAGGTTCACTCTGACCCGGCAGATAGTACCTGTTAGTATTCCAGCTGTAGACAAATAGTGAAACCCCATACCAGAAAAGCGTAAAAATACATTTTATAGCAAAATGACCAACAATACATTTATTTGTAGTTGAAGGCATACAGTTACATTTAAAGTATATTTAGTTGAAGCCATAAAATTGCGTACAAAATATTTAGTTTTCGATATTAAATAACACCTACAGGGCGATATGCCACGAACAAAATCAACCAACCAACCAAAAAAATTATATGAAAGTATTCTTTCATAACATTAATCCAGTGATCCTACAATCTCTTAGAAAAATCAAACTGTATAATTTCAACAAAACTACATCAAACATTCCTATAACCGCCTCTAGTAATCATGTCCCCACAAACATGTATATGCACAAAATCTACTATGTAGTTGTTGTGGTGTTCTCCCTCTAATGAGTCTATTGTGGGCTCTTCCACTTACTATAAAATTAGTAGGAAATTAAGCCTAGTAGGGAACAGTACTATAGATTGAACGCTTGTCAACCGACACACACTCCCAAGTCGTGTAATACTCTTCTGTTGTATTTACTGTTCAACACACGATTTATCTGCAACCTCTTGTTTTGTTATTCCTTAACCATTTACTTGGTCACAACAGTATTCAATTTTGAAAGCAGAATAACATATATCATATTTTTATTACTTCAAAGCTCAAAAAAAATTAAATTTCGAAATTAAATGACCCATAAGGAGTTGATATGCCGTTAAACAAATTAATTGAAACAAATCAAATCGATGGCAGCCAATAAGATTGGTGTCTTCATGGCGAAGCATACAAGAAAAAGTGCTTAGCATCAACAGTTAAGCATGGTGGTGGAAAAGCCATGGTCTGGGCTTGTATATACTCCAATAGTGAGCTGCATTTCATTTGCGAAATCCTGAATATTGAAATTTATTGCAATATTTAGAAGTAAAACACATGGGAAGAAGAGATATGTTTCAACATAACAATGATCTAAAACACTCCGCTAAAAAAATTTCAGAAGAAGCCAAAAATATTGTTTGATTAAGCGTTCTCTTTCAAAGGCATATCAACTCCGTCGTTTATTTAATTCCGAAAACCTTTGTTTTTTAAAATACATGGATTGTAAACAATTCTTTGGGTCGTTGGTTGCATCACTCTCCATTTATGCTTTTAGAACAGAGTTATTTAATGCTATAATTTGTGTTATAATCCAACCTCCATCTAGTAGGCTAGGATAGTCTCTATTTTTCAGTTTCTCAGTTTTTTCTAATTTTGTTTTTAGCAAAATATATAAAAATAAATATTATACGACATGAAGATCAGTGTCTTTAAGACCGAGGTCATGACCGTCAGCAAGAGACCAGAAAAACTGGACATTAACATCAATGGGACCTAGCTAAAGCAAACCAGTGAATTCAAATATCTGGGCAGCATATTTACTGAAAACGGCAAGCTAGACAGAGAAATTGAGACCAGATGTCAGAAAGCCAAAGCAGTCAGTTGTACCTCTTCTAAAACATCCTAATATTTTCATGAGCACCAAGGCAAATTTCATCAACGCCATTTTTCAACCAACGCTGACATACCAGTGTCAGACATGGCCCCTAACAAAAACCCTTGAGAGGAAACTGATAACTTCTGAGATGAAATGCCTGAGGAAAGCAGTAAACAAGACCAGGCAAGACAAGATCAGGAATGAGGCAATAAGAGATATGATAGGAGCAATACCATCATACAACACATGGAACGACAGTGGATCAAGTAGTTCGGACACCTCACTCGTATGCCTATCAACCAACCAGCCCTACGAGTATACATCCTCAGGTACTCTTGCTGGAGTGAGAGGCAGACCAATAAGACGCTGGAGCGACTCAGTAGCAGATACTCTCAAAGCCCACAAGATATCTCTCCTTAAGGTCATTCGCCTTGCCGCTGACAGACGACTATGTCTCCCCGCGACGCCTAACAGCACAAGCGGAAGGAAAAACTAAACTATAAAAATTACTCGATTCACTTAGACTGTCGCTAGATTTAAATTATATGGAGCACTTGTGAAATATACTGAAATCAAAATTAAAAAGAGCAATGACCATCCACGACAAATTTGAAAGAACACATACTTTTGGAAGGAGAAAAAACATTCCACTGATTGTTTTTAGTGTCGTCAACGCCGGGAAGACTACAAGCAGTAATAGAAAAGTAAAGCGGCCACACCAAAATGTGTTTTCCCATATAAGAAAAAATAAGTTTATTTAAAATAAAGTTTTATAGAAGTAAACTCATTTTCGGACCACAACATATTCATATATTTGGCAAGTTTTAATACTGTATATTTTGGTTATAAATAATAACTGATATTATCTGGTTGGATTATGTAATGTTCCAGCAAAAATAATAAAATCCTGATTTGTTTGGATTATGAGAAAACTATTTTTTTTAAGTGCTAGTTGGTGTACTCATTTTGCGAGCATTACTGTACGATAACTGAGATTTTGGCCAACCACTTGACATACACCCACACAATTATCCTGGGATGGCGGTCATATCACGTTGAAACACCGGTTTGCGTACGATCATCAAAGTTAAGCAACGTCGAGCCTGGTCTTTACCTCGATGGTTGACCGCTTGGAAATATAACGTTCTTGAAGTTGCGAGTGGGGGTAATGGATAAAGGCTTGGATTTGGAAATCGGAGAGCCGTGTTCCAATTCCAGTCAAGTTCGTTATAGTCACTTACTCTTGGGAAAAGGTATGCCCTTAGGAAAGGTAAGGATCTATCTCTCTTTTTTTTACACTAGTTATGGGCTAATTAATAGGCTTTGTATCAGTAAATCATTATTATCTTCCAAAACATCTCACAATAAAAAAATATTTTCTAGCTTTAAATAACCCGCAAAATATTGATAAGCCGTAAGAATACAAATCAATTAATCTATTTTATATATGTAGTCTCTTCATTTCTATCTAGCTCTCTCTCTCTCTCTATCTATCTATCTATCTATCTATGTAATCTGTTCATATCATTCTATCTATATATGTAGTCTCTTCATATCTACCTATCTATTTATCTATGTAAACTCTTCATATCTATCTATCTCTCTACCTATCTATGCAGTCTCTTCAGATCACTCTATGTAGTCTCTTCAAATGTTTCTATTTATCTATGTAGTCTCTTCATATCTATCTATGTATGTAATCTCTTCATATCTATCTATCTATCTATGTAGTCTCTTCATACCTATGTCTATCTATGTAGTATCTTCATATCTATCTATCTATCTATGTAGTCACTACATTTCACTCTATCTATTTTTTGAGATTAATTCAATGACTAACAACGTGTTTTCTTTTTTAGGTCAAGATTTCCCTGTTTTATCATTTTTATCTTACCCCAAATATCTTTGTCAAAAAGGAGTAAAGTCGATACAGAGTGTCAATCATTTCAAGAAAAGTGGTCCTTTTCTTATTTATTCAAGAAGATGAGCGTGAAACCTGTGTGTTTAGGTTTCATTGCTCAAAGAATATAGCATTCGGTGCCACTATGAGACTCATCATTCGACATACACAATAACTTGCAAATGAAAAACAGAAGGTAAATAAACTCTTAGCGGATCTGAACCGGAAGCCGGGATATCAGTCAGGCAGCAGTAAAAGTTATCTACCTTGTTGCTAGAGAAATAACATTAGCATCAGTGCCGTACTGTTCGTGAAAACATGCATACTGAGTTGCAGAAAGTGCATGCCTGAGAAGCGACAGACGAGAAACACTATGGCAGATGGGATTTCAGGTTTTTCTGTAGATTTGGAAAAGCAACTGAAGCACAAAATCAAGTCATTTATTGCATTTTCGGTTGCAATTGATGAGAGCACGGACATTACGGATGTTGTACAACTGGCCATATTCATTCGTGGTGTAGACAAGACTTTGACCGTCAGTGGGGAGTTCCTGGAATTGGTTCCTATGATGGACACCAGAACAGCAAATGATATTTTCATCTCTATCGTTGGAGCGCTGGACAGGTCAGTGAGGACTAGACCCGTGTTGCCAGCGTGGCTACAGATATCGCTCCATCAATAGTTGGGAATAAAGCAGGTGTTATGATGCAGTTCAGAGAGAAAGTACAAATTACAAATTGAGCACGAGAGTTTTGGATATTTCACTGCATTTTGCACCTGCAGGCATTGTGTTGCAAATCGTTAAAAATGGATCACGTCATGAAAATGGTTGTCCGAACTGTTAATTTCATCCGGTAGATGTCTGAATCACCGTCAGTTTCACAATCTTTTTAACGATATAGGTGTTATCTATGACGTGGTTAAGACGAGGTGCTGCGTTGAAGCATTTCTTTAATCCACGAGAAGAAATTGGAAAGTTCACGGAGAAAAAGGGCAAACCAGTGTTAGAATTTGTTATATACCGCACCTATGAACACTAATGGGTATGTCTCAATCCTCATAAACACTATTGTAAGTCGGGGTAATATGCTGTTTACGTAGTCCACCACTAGCAGTGGTTTACCTATTTCACGCCGCTGGCGAGTATTGTATTTTGTCGATGCTATAAATATGACCATTTCCAACCTCTGTTTTGGGTATTTCATCATTCAGTAACCTTTTCTATGATACAACAGAATTTTAATAACCAGACTGGCTGCAACATTTAGCATTTATCGTGAATATTACAGAGCACTTAAATAATCTGAGCAAGGCCGTAAAAAGTTGTCACACAGTATTTTGAAAGCATACACGCATTCAAGCTTGAGCTAACTTTATAGGAGACACAATTGACAGGTGGTTAACCTGCTCATTTTCCTTGTCTAAAAGATGTGGTTGCGACCGCAGATAATTTTGTCATGAATCGGTACAAAAGCACGGGATTGCTACGAGAGTTTCAGCAATGGTATCAGTTTTTGATGAACTTGAAACAAATTTCACAGTTTTTTGCACGCCATTTACAGTCAACGTCTCTGATCTGCCTGTCAACATCCAACTTGAAATGATTGACATTCAGTGTGATTCGGATTTGAAGAACAAATTTACCTTAGTGGTCTTGAACACATTTTATCAGTATCTCTTGCCAAAGTACCCCAAATTGACAGCCCTTGCTGCGAAAGTTTTGTGCATGTTTGGGACTACATATCTTTATCAACACGTTTTCTCCGTAATGAGCATCAATAAAACAAAGCTGCGCTCAAGGCTCACCGCTAAATGACATCTTGATATTGGCTGCTACTTAGGATTTGACACCTGATATTGATGCACTTGTAAAGAGAAAAAAGATGCCAAGTTTCAGGAAAATGGAAAATAAATGACAAAAATAATAAAAATGTTTTTAAATGTTTTTCTTTTTATTTTATAAATTGTATAAATTTACAAGGCAGTGTGATAACTCAGTTCTCAGTGTGATAAATTTACAAGGCAGTGTGATAAATCAGTTCTCAGTGTGATAAATTTACAAGGCAGTGTGATAACTCAGTCTTCTTTAACAGTTCCCACTTTCACTTGTTCAATGTTTAGCAAAATAAAATTTTTTCTTTAAACATGAACATTATCAGAATGTATTTTTTTACACTATAACAAAAGGAATATTTTGAAATTGCTATTTATAGATTATTATGCCATGATTTTACCGGTTCGGCCAGCTTGAGATCAAATTGGGTTAAGATGTGGCCCGTAAACTAAAAGGAATTTGACGCCCTGGTCTATATAGTCTCTTCATATCTATCTACCTATCAGATATATATATATATATATATATATATATATATATATAGAGAGAGAGAGAGAGAGATATGAAAAGATTGAGATAGATAGATAGATAGATAGATAGATAGATAGATAGATATGAAAAATTGATATATATATATATATATATATATATATATATAGAGAGAGAGAGAGAGAGAGAGAGAAGGAAAGAGATGAAAAGATTCGGATAGATAGATAGATAGATAGATAGATAGATAGATAGATAGATATGAAAAGATTCATATATATATATATATATATATATATATATGAAGAAAAATATACTGAAGAAACAAACAAAAATCCTAATATGCAATTATGCTGTTTTAAACGGAACGCTGATCTTAGTTATCTGTTTGGATTGGTATTGCTTTTTATATCCATCGTCTTTTTCATGTTGAATTGTATATGGTCTATGTTAATTATGTTTTATAAATATGTCCTGAAGATGGTCTATTAGACCGAAACGTCCGACGTTGACATTAAACATTAAAACAGCATAATCGCATATTAGGATTTTTGTTTGATTTTTGGGGTTTTTTTTAAGTATATTTTTCTTCATACTGTCGGATCTATATCCATATATTTGCTTACATATATATATATATATATATATATATATATATAGAGAGAGAGAGAGAGAGAGAGAGAGAGAGAGAGAGATGAAAAGATTCAGATAGATAGATAGATAGATAGATAGATAGATACAGCGTTAAAGCCTGAAGAAATGAAGCCAAGGATAACGCAGGACGCAATAACAACCAAATATGCAATGCAACAAATGCGTAAGAGATTCTTTACTAGAAATTAACCTCACTACGGGAGCCAAAACTAATTCATCTTTTATTTATGTTTATGCTTTGTAGATTTTTAGTGCCTGAGTGTGAATTGTTGCGTCTTACGGTCACATCATGTTGAAAAACCGGTCCCCGTACGATCACCGATGTTAAGCAACGTCGAGTCTGGCCAGTACCTAGAATGGGCAGTAACTAGCTTGGGAATACCAGGTGCTATAAGCTTGGATGTGCATATAATGTAATGGTAATGGTTCAAAATTGTTAATCGGGAAGCTGAGTTCCTATTATAATCACTTATACGCAAATACCCATGGGGAAGGCATGACTCCACAATTTCTCCCCACCAGTTATGGGTTAATTAATAAGACTAAACTTGCATCACTAAACCAGTATGATCTCAGGAAAAAAAAATCTTACAATCTAAAAATATTTTCTGGCTTTAAATAACCTCCAAAGGGTTGTTAAACCGTAAACAACGAACCAATAAAAAAACAAAAAAGAATGGTTGCCTTTTGGACGTGTAAGACTAGATGCCATCTCTGAGGCTCTAATTTTGCTTGAGATGCCCAGCATTTCAGCGAATGATTTGCAGCAACCGTTTTCCCTGTTAATTATTCCCAGGTGACACTCGAATTCCTCATCAGTATTTAACACCTTCAAATCAATGAATGCCACCGTCAGGTGTGGTGTATAAACAGCTGCTAATTAATTCATTGTGATGGGCTTAATCACAAACAGTAAATACTGTCTTCCTTGATTAGATGTGTTTTAATGTTGCTTGATGTGTTTGTAACAAAAACTATTTATTAAGTCCTAGGGTGACAGAAATTGACCTAATCACTCCCTACAACTAGTTTTCCTATTCCGTTTCAACAAATAACGCTAATATTTAATCTCTCCCACAAATATTAGCATTCATCAGCTGAATTTAAAACTCCTGTTTAATACGATAATATTTTTACTTGCTCATCAGAATGAATTAAATAACACCATTAGGTCCGTACTGAATGCGTCAGTTGATTGGCTGTTTTCTACGGCTTATCAATCCATTGCAGGTTATTTAAAGCCAGAAAATATTTTTAGATTGTCAGAATTTTTTTGCGAGGGAGATAAAAATGATTTAGTGATTCAAGTCTTGCTAATTAACCCATAGCTGGGGGAGAACATGCGAATTCATACTTTTCCCAAAGGCATTTCGCGTAAGTGAATATAACGAACCCATCTTGAATTGGAACTCGGCTCTCCGATTAATAATACTGAGCCATTATCCATTAAAGCACTCGCGCATCCCAGCAGTCACTCATCTAGGTACTGACCAGGTTCGACGTTGCCTAACTTCGGTGATCGTATGGGAACCCATGTTTCAACGTAATATTGCCGTAAGCCTGAAAGATTAGTGACTTGCGTGTATGTAACGTAATATTGTGTAGCGTAATACCTTGGATTAGCGAATGGTTAGGTTTTAAGTGTCGTTTCTTAGCAGATCGCTGTAAATTGATGCAGAAAAATAAAGTGACAAAAATGTCGAAAAATCAAAGACAATGGAAAACAGTTGAAATAAAGATCCATGTTGATTTATGTACTTTGTTCAAAGGCTGTTACTAGGTTTATGGACATCGGGTAAAAGAAGATTGCCAAATAAGGACCTACTTCATAGCATTGGTCGGGGATGACTGACAAACAAATAAATCATTCCCCTTTTATGCGGTTTGAATTCCTTTTTCTTTTCAGCTTGATTAAGATGTCATTATTCACAGCTTTCAATCTACACTCGCCTTAGACTAAAATATTTTGACTGAAACTAATCTGAGAAGATATATATATATATATATATATATATATATATATATATATATATATATATATGTCGGCCCTAAGTGTGCTTTAAGTTGATATGCTCAATATAAGAGTCATTCTCCAAACTACCAGCTCGTTTAACGGGCATCATGGTATACCCCTACTTTATTATGTTCGGTATAGAAATAAGAATGATGATTGATTGGTTTCTTTGTTTAACGAAAAATCAACTCCTTATAGGTCATTTAATTTTCTTGGGATCTTTGAAGTAATAAAAATATGTTATTCTGCTTTCACAATTGAATACATGGTAGATGATACTCAGATTTTGCGCATATATATATTTATTGGTTGGTTAGTTGGTTGACTTTTTAGTGTCATATCAACCTCTATGGGTTATTTAATGCTGAAATGTAAATATTTTGTACATAATTTTATACTTTCAAGTAAGGGGTACATTTTTTAAATATATAGTTTGTAGATCATAAAATGTATTGCTGATAATTTTACTACAAATATATATTGTTGGCCATTTTGCTATAAAAATGATTTGTTGGTCATTTTGCTATAAAAAATGTACTGTTGGTTTTGTTTGTGGGTTCACTATTTCTCTTTAGGTGGGACCCCCTAACAGGTGTTATCAGCCCGAGTCAGTGTGGACCTGAAACAACAGCAGTGAAAAGATGGTTCCACGCTACCCAACTCCTCCAATCTCCCAATGAGAGGCCTTGCTACT